TTGATGTTTGAACTCAACAGCAGAACAAGTACCCCTCCCTGCAGTGCTCCTTCAGAAGCTCCACCCCCCCCAAGTTTTTGGACGTGCATTGCCAGGGCGAATGACACTGGGCTAGCAAACGTGTTTTTTTTAGATCTTCACTGCCATAAAACACTTTGCAAACACTGTACAGACAAATACCATAATATTTTAATTTGTTTTCCAGTTCCACCTTAAATGGATCAGCAGTTAAGCTACATTCCAGTGCCTCAGCTTTGTTCGAATTTTCCCGTTCCACCTTAAATGGTGCGGCAATTAGGCTATAATTAGGTGCCTTAGCTTCTCATTTGAACTTTCCCATTCCACCTTAAATGGTGCAGCAGTAAGGATGTATTTAGGGGCCTCAACTTCGTTTGAATTTTCCTGTTCCACCTTAAATGGCGCAGCAGTAAGGATGTATTTAGGTGCCTCAGCTTCGTTTGAATTTTCCCGTTCCAGCTTAAATGGTGCAGGAGTTACATTCAGGTGCAGAATTGATTTAAGGTGGAACAGGAAAATGCGAATAGGAAGCCAACTTCAGCCTCGTCACCTTCAAGGATATCCAGTAGAGGAATATTCGGAAGGTTTCTTTCACCTGAACGTTTCCTGCTGCACTGCGCCATCCTGTATACCCAGCGCTGTGTGGGTGGTCACTGTCTGGGGAGGGCAAAACAAAACATGGGGAGGGCAACGTTTTCACAGGGCAGGACTAACATACATGCAGCCGGACCGGCTATGAAAACGAAAAACAGAGGAGCTAAGATTACAAGAGAGAACTTGTGGAGATGAGAATTGTCACTCCATAACATCTTCCAGGTTTCTCAAACACTAGAGGGCGCTCCTGAGCGAATCCAAAATGAATGGGTAAAGATGGAGCATTTGAGCAAAATCATTTTATCAATTTATCATCGGGGCTGCATCTCCACACCATTCAAAGAGGGCATGAAGTTCCACAGACAGTGAGAATGATGATCAATGAACGATCCACAGAGAGACAGGAGTGAGTGGAGCTCCGGCGCCAGGACAGCAACCGAGACCCCAACGCGTTATGGCAGCCCCCCTACAGTACAGCAACCGAGACCCCAACGCGTTATGGCAGCCCCCCTACAGTACAGCAACCGAGACCCCAACGCGTTATGGCAGCCCCCCTACAGTACAGCGACCGAGACCCCAACGCGTTATGGCAGCCCCCCCACAATACAGCAACCGAGACCCCAACGCGTTATGGCAGCCCCCCTACAGTACAGCAACCGAGACCCCAACGCGTTATGGCAGCCCCCCCTACAGTACAGCAACCGAGACCCCAACGCGTTATGGCAGCCCCCCTACAGTTAGCCCACTTTATCCTCCAAATATAACGACTTTTTGACTTTACTCTCGAAATATTACGACTTTTTTTCGAAATATTACGACTTTATTCTCAAAGTCTACTATTCTTATTTTTATTAACAGTGGCCCTAAAACGCCGTCGTAGAAAACAGCTGTTTGCTGTTACGTTAATGTTTAGAAGGTTGTAGAACCTTTAAATCTTAAATTTATACAACCCTGAAAATGAGTATTACTGTACTCCTGATAAGAGACACTTAATAACTAGCGTGTTGTTTACGTGTGACTTTGCTGTGTGTAACCCAGACAAGCTGCACAGAAATAGGCTTAATAATCTTAAAGCTGCACTACACTCTTTAAAAGATGGTTCTTCAGTAAAGAAAATGGTTCTACAGAGAACCATGAACAGTCAAATAACCTTTTGCATGTTTAAAGGGTTGCTTGCATCATGAAAGGGTTCTTTGGATTGATGGAAAACCTGCATGAATGTGCTATAGACAGTTCTATATAGAACCTTTTTGAAATGGTTCTTTTGTTACGGTGTCAAGCTTGTGACAATAGAAGAACCCTATATAGATATATATAAAGTGGTATATGATTTTGAAAGTGGTATAGAGAACCACTTTCAAAATGGTGTTACTTCAGTATATCAGTGTCAGAATCCATTTTATTCACAGAGCCTAAGATGGTCTAGATATCAATAGAAATCACAAATATATGTACTCAACTGTACTACTGAACTTAAGTGTGGTACACTCTCTTAAAAAAGATTGTTCTTCAAGGGTTCTTTCATAAAGACTGCTTCTATATAGAACCATTAACACTCCGTGTTAATGTTGTTGGGTCATTCTCCGCACTGCAGTAACACTGATGTGGTGGTGGTGTGTTAGTATGTGTTGTGCTGGTACGAGTGGATCAGACACAGCAGTGCTGCTGGAGTTTTTAAACACTGTGTCCACTCACTGTCCACTCTATTAGACACTCCTACCTCGTCAGTCCACCTTGTAGATGTAAAGTCAGAGACGATAGCTCATCTGCTGCTGCACAGTTTGTGTTGGTCATCCTCTAGTCCTTCATCAGTGGTCACAGGACGCTGCCCACAGGATGCTGTTGGCTGGATATTTTTGGTTGGTGGACTATTCTCAGTCCAGCAGTGACACTGACGTGTTTAAGAACTCCAGCAGCACTGCTGTGTCTGATCCACTCGGACCAGCACAACACACACACACACACCACCACCACGTCAGTGTTACTGCAGTGCTGAGAATTATCCACCACCCAAATAGTACCTGCTCTGTGAGGGTCCATGGGGGTCCTGACCACTGAAGAACAGGGTAAAAGGGGGCTAACAAAGTATCAGAGAAACAGATGGACTACAGTCTGTAACTGTAGAACTACAAAGTGCACCTATATAGTAAGTGGAGCTGATAAAATGGACAATGAGCGTAGAAACAAGGAGGTGCTCATAACGTTATGCCTGATCGGTGTAAATAAGTTGGATTTGTCGTGTTACAAAAACAGTGATATCAGACAACTTTTTAGAACCTGAATTAGCATATTTAGACTGTATGGACTGCGAAATGAACTACATTTTAGAACCTGAAAAATTGATGAAAATTCAGTTTTCGATTATATAGACCCTTTAAAACAAGCAAATTGTTGTCAAATAGGTTAAATAGGTCTTAATATTATGATCTCATAATAAAAAATTAGATTTATTAAAACTGCTTTAAAACTTATGCATTTACTTTTTGTTCAACAGAAATGCTCTCGTTACATTAACTTCCATTACAAGATAAGTGTTTTTTCTTCCAATGTATTGTTATGAATATGGTGACGAATATGGAAATTAAGGAGTTAAATGGATGAGATTCTTGGAAAACATCAATATTTATGGCCTGTGTTTAAAATAACTGCGAAACAGACTTTAATCAGTTAGTGTTTTGTTTATTACAAAAAGTGTAAAGTAACAGTAATATTTGAACATTTGCATAGGCGTCAACATTTCCCTTCTAGAACAGCACAACTGACCCATAATGCCTCAGACAGACGGCACAGTGTGGAGGTGATGACCAGAACGAACACTTCACAGCACACAGACAGTACTTAACACTTACAGTCCCACACTTCAATGTGTTTACTTAAACTAGACCTGTTACGATCCGTCTGATTCACGACAACAGACGAGGTTTTAACAGCTCGGTTCTCTTAATCGTGCTCAGGTTGCATAACAACTACAACAGGGGACCCAACAGACAGGTAAACAGTCTGCCAGACCACCTTTCAGTGGAACCATCAATTAGTTCGAGGCATTTTAGCACCGATTTAGAGGCCTGAACTCAAAAGAAAGTGCATTTCCGTAACGTTTAGGGAAGAACCTGCTAGAACACCTTACGCACTCGAACAGAACATAAAACCCAAAATGATTTATAGTAAATTAAACACCTTGTAAATACAAATAATAGAAGGAAAAACACAATAATGTGTATAAAATACTTCTCTAAACTCTCAGAACCTTCTAGATCTGGACACGTTTGTATTGAACCTAATCAGCCACAGAAATATTAGCAGGAACACTGCAAAACGATATACTCAAGTACGTCAAGTGAAATCATCTCAAATCTGGTCAATATTTAATCACAGGGGTGGGAAAAATGATATTTTTTTCGTTATCATGATAAACAGTGTCAGTGTGCTTTTCGGAGCATATCGTGAATATAGTCTGTACTTAAAGGACAACAACTGAATGTTTCACTACAAAGTGAGCATAATTGAACAAAAGATTGTAGGTTTATTACTGTATTTTTAGTAATATGTGTAGTATAAAGCACTACAGGTCCTATTTTGTGTTCCAACTTATTAAATCTCAGAAAAACAAAATACTGTGATGCATATCGTGTAGCGTGAAAACGTCTTTAAGTATCGTGATATAATGTTTTTACAATATCGCCCACCTCTAAGATATAGTCTACGTAATATGAGATTCATTATAATCTCTAATATATCATCAACATAATATATTTCTCATTATGAGAATGTGGCTGCTGTAAGAATATTTCAGTTTACTCAAGGGATGCACGATGATTTCGGGAACTTATTGGTATTGGCAGATATTTGCTTTGAAATTATCAGAGGTTTAGATTGGACCAATATCTGATGATAATGTGACACTGGGTTTTATTGATATTACTGCAAATCCTCTAAAAATAATCCTCTAATTAATTTCTATAATGCTAATACCTGCAGATTTACTCCCAATTTTCACATTTTTAAACGTTTATGGATCCGTATTGGCAAATACATAAAAAAATCTGTAACAATATCCATATCGCAGCACTAATTTCTACACATTTTTATTGCTTTAAGTATTTGTGGCTAGCGGCTAACTTACTCACCCATAGTTAATTTTACTTGCTTTGTGAAATAATGTATAAAATTTAAGGTTTTAAATTTTTAAGACCCGTATCCTACATTATTATGTGTTTTATTGTGTTCTCTGGGGTTCTTTTACGACATTTGTGCCACAAATTGGTATTTGTGTCCACCAAAAACAGTCATAATTCATTTTTCCAACCTTTCTGTACCCTTAGAATTAAACTAAAACCACTACAGGCTGAAACATGCCTTATAACTTCACCGTTAGTGGGCAGGGCTAAGCTGCTTCAGGCTGAATCGCAACAGATATATGCAAATAATTTGTTTTTTGTGATGAATTCAGAGAACTTTTCAGAACCCGAAAGTGCATATATAGCCAGTCTGGACGGGGGAGGGAAACGTACATTTTAGAACCTGGAAAATGGATGAAAATCCAGTTTTCGATTATATAGACCCTTTAAAACAAGGAAAGTGTTGTCAAATAGACTGAACTACTTTAATATTCGTATAATCTCATAATAAAAGATTTTAGCTATATTGACTAGAACTAAGATGATTTCATTTGTCAGGATCTTTTTGTATCCGTTTAATCTGTTAATCAGGCATTAATGAAAGCACCGATGGGAAACAATGATCAAGTTTAACCACTAAGGACTGTAAAGCGCCTGAGCGAGGTAGTGGAGCAAACATTATAAACGCTGCCTGTTTCAGACTACTTTAAATTACGTATTTTATATTCTCCAAGAAAACAAAATAAGTAAAATATTCTAACAGATTCACCAGTTTTCAGTCTGCCAACTGCCATCTCTAGAACTTTATGGCTTTTATCACTCCGTAACGAATGTTTGCGCAACTTCACCAACCGCAGAACCATTTTGCTTTTACTATGAAGCTATTAGGTTCGTACGAGTATGTCCATAATGTGCTCCAGCTCGTGCATTTCTCTTGAACCTGAAGAGGACGGTGCAGATGGAGAGCTGGACAGAGATGGTAGATATCTCACGAGCTCGTCAGCAGGAAAGGAGAAGGTACGTGAACCGAAACCGTTCACTTCTCCGTCGAACACCGATGTGTCAATGTCCAACAGAAGGTCATCGATGGTGGCATCCTGGAGGAAACCAGACATGCTGGCTGGTGCTCCAAGTTCAGACGTTCTGCAGCTCTCAATCTTGTGGTTGAAGGTCAGACTCTGCTTGTATCTTCCATCTCCCGGGATGTTCTCAATAGACGCTAACGGAGAGCACTGAGGAACAGATGGCCCGCCATCTAGAGCGGCATCAAGATTTTTCAGGATGGCAGAAATGGCTGAAGACAAGGAGAAGTCCTCATCGGTGGACCAGGCCATGAAGTCGTCCTCCACGTCTTCCACCCCCTGGGAGCAAACGGAGGCACTGAGCCCAGCAGGAGTGCACTCTTGCTGGGAACGGAGCTCAGGCAGCACCCTTGGAGGAGTATGTAGTTTCCGAGGGCCGCCGATTCCAGACAAAGAGGTTCTGACCTCCGACTGGACCTGGCGTAGCGTGTTATTGATGAGAACGGAACGTAGTAAGCTGGGCTCCACCAGGGCCTGGTCACGCTGGAACTTGTCCCAGGAGATGTCCAAAACGGACTGCAGCTGACTCTCCCAGACGGGGCTTCCACTCTCGTCATTCTCATGGAGCTTACGCTTCAGCCCCCGCGCCCCCATCAGTCCGTCACTCTGTGAGGAAACAATACATCTGTTAATATCACAAGGCACAGCATGGTAGGAAGAAACGAAAAGCATAGCAGGACTTGAAGAGCCTCAAAAGGTTAAAAAGAGTTGAATTTGCTGGCTGCTTAGAAAGCAAATTGATGAAGTAGTTTTTGGTGCGTATATAGTGGTCAGTTTAACCTCCAATGCTTTCCTCGTCCATGTTCCAAAAAAAACACAGTGAAAAACAAAAAGTCCTCCATAATTCAGTGTGCGAGATGTAAACAGAGTGATTCAGAGTGGTTTGGTGTGTAATGATTCAGATTTCCTTACAGTGGTGGCGATAGGAACCAGAGGTCACCATGACTACTGGTTGACCAGCATACCAGCATTCAAAACACAACATAGGCTGGTCTATGATGGTTTTTCTAGCAGGGAATATGACAATGTAAGCACGTTTCTTAAAGCTAGTATTGTTTCTAACAGGATATAGCACATAAACCACTATCATAAAGACACTTGCAAGCATAAAGAGTCATATTAGGCTAAAAAAAATCTATACTGTGATATACGACTCTCCCAGTATGATTCTTTAATCCAGTATAACTTTCTAGCCCAGCATAACTTTTAATGCCAGTATACATTTTAACACAGTTTGACTCTTTAGGCCAGTGTTGGTGTTTATGTTAGTTCAGGATTTTTTGTGCTGACTGCTTATGAGTTTCCCAAAAGCATCTTAGCACAAAGATGATTTACACTGAACACTGTCTCTCATAGTTAAAGGGGAATTGAAATAAATCTGCATAGTTCAATCAGTGTAATGTAATCAGAGTGATTCAGAGTGGTTTGGTGTGAAATGGTTCAGATGTCTTTACAGTGGTGGTGATGGGAACCAGGGGTCGCCATGACTACAACACAGATATAGACATTTTATTTACTATCCAGAACCACCAGTGAACCTACACGAGTCTTCTGAGTTTATCTCTAAACTATCATAAAACAGTGTCTCAGTCATCAGGCAGTGAATTCATAACCATTTCATGTAGGAACTTTCTGTGAGGAGCTTTTAGAGGTGGACGTCTGGTTCCTATCACCACCACTGTGAACAAATCTGACTCGGTAAGTTTATCTAGAACGGAGCGTTTCACACCAAACCACTCTGAACCGCTCTGTTTACATCTTAACCAATTAATTAGCTAGAATTTTTGAAAAATCGGTGGAGTCCCCCTTTTATTGGAGGGAACTAGAGGGGGCAAAGGAGGGAAAAGGGAAGGCGTTAAAGAGGTTAAACACGGTGAAAAGGCGTTAAGTTAGCTGGCTGGCTATAACAGTTTGTGTATTTTGAGGTAATAAATGTATCTTAAAGCTTAACTTACCTTAAACACATCAGTAAACTTTTACCTACTTCATTGTAAAGTTGTTGGAGGCATTGTTGCCACACTAAACTGCATATATGAACCCCGGACCACTTTAAAAATATTATTACAGCGTCGCAGCACTGCAGAAAGTTAGACTTTACAAGTCGGGTCTGATCTTGGTGTTGTTTAGTTAGCTAAGTTAGCGTTAGCACCATCTTTACCGCTCTAACCTCTTACACAGAGCTGACGTTCCAGCTATCTAGAACGGTAAAAAACACACACCGGCTTCTGTCACTCACCTGTCCGGGTTGTATGCGTCCTCAGGGATCCACTAAACGAACTAAAGTGCTTGTTAAAGTCTGTAAATAGTAAAGAATCCGCGGAGCGCCGCGCAGACCGACCGAACTGATTTACTGATTCACCGCAAGTCGCTTTCCCGCCCGCGATTCAAGCTCTACACGGAAACAACACGAGGGTGCTTCTGGGTAATGTAGTCTACACTCCTGTGAACGTAGCCTACAGTGTTAAAAAAGATGGTTCTTCAAGGGTCCTTTAGGGAAGAAAATGGTTCCATGTAGAACCATGAACACTCAAAGAACCCTTTGCGTGATTAAAGGGTTCTTTGCATGGTGACATGGTTCTTTAGACTGATTGAGAATGTGCTGTATTCAGTGGTGGACGAAGTACACACATCATGTACTTGAGTTAAAATAGAGATACCCAAGGTAAAATATTATTCCAGTAAAAACAGAAGTTCCTCCCTTTAGACCTCCACTTGAGAGTATTTGCCTTCAAATGTACTTAAGTATCAAAAATAAAAGTACTAAAAGATTAATTATGACTCTGATGTCCTATTATCATTTTTGTAACAAGACTCGCTTCATTAACTCATTTTAGGTGAAAATACTCCAGTGTCTCTCTTGGTAGATCAGTCTTTTAATAGAAGGTCATTAATTAGTGACGCTGATGTCTATTAAAATGATCAAAAGCACAAAACACTGAAGGCAAACAGTTTCCATCAGGTAGAACTGAGTGGCTCTGAAATCACTTTTTACGAACAAGTAAAGTTTCAGTTTAAGATTTATTTGAACTTAGTTACAAGTTTAAGTTTAATAAAAACTTTAAACTCAGATTCACAAATGAGTTTCCTTTGCTAAACTGCATCTGTAGGTCTCTGTTCATAAACATAAACTAGCCAAAACTAATTTACTATAAAATGAAATAGTGTTTGTATAAATTCAGAAAAAAGACACGTCAGTCACAACTGCATATGAGTACATATTTCTATATTGTGGTCTGTTTACACAAAGTTAGGTTAGTTCATCATTTATGTTGAATAGACTCTCCCAAAATTTTACGCTGCTGCACTGATGTTGAACCGTGTGCTGCACTGGGTCGGTATGACCAACAGGTCAAAACAAGCTCAAAACAAAGTGACCGCTGTGCCCTGATTGGTGTTGCTTTGCGCTTCTTTAGTTTTGACATGTTATGTTTTTATGCACACATAAACCAAAGGGAAGGACAGATTTCTCATAATGTAGCAGAGTAAAAAGTGAGATATTTGACTTTGAAATGTAGTGGAGTGAAAGGAAAAAGTCGCCCAAAATGGAAAAACTTCAGTAAAGTACAGATACACAAAAAACTACTTAAGTATAGTAATGAATTACATTTACTTCGTTACTGTCCACCACTGGCTGTATTCTATGTAGGACTTGTTCTATACTACACCCTAAAGGGTTCTTCTATTATATGCAAGCTTGACATTGTAACAATAGAAAAACCCTTTTGGGGTGCTGTATAGAACCCTCTTCAAAAAGTTCTATGTAGAACCAGCTTTAGTTTACAGTATTGTGATTGTTTAGACCATTAGCTTTCACTAATGTAGTTAACAGTGTTGTGATATTTTCTAATGCAAGGTAACCTGGTATAAGACGTCCACTCCTCTCCTGATCTAATGCTGAGGTCTAATCTAATCACAGCACAGTTACTGAACGGCTCTGCTCTGATTAAATCTGCTCACTGCATTCCTGCAATTTATTCTCCTAGACACTTTTTGTGGTCAGTTGATCTGCCTATTGGGGGTGTAAAGGGCACTCCTTTAGCATACTGCCCCAAAAATATTATTCAATTAGATTTTCACCATAAAATCATAATGTTGTTCACTTACCAGCTAGCATTAGCATTACAAGCAATCATAGGCATTTTTAGCGTCTTGCTGGAGACGAGTTTGTGTGAGTTTGAATTCTGCAGCTCCAGCCACACCAGATCTGTTCTGTAATGTCTAATAACTGGATTTATCATTTAGACGTTGAATACTTTCACTTTGTTTAGATTATTATTATTACTGTCACAATAACGCTACATTAACAACAACTACTACCACTAGTATTTGTTGTTAATCAAATTAGTTTACACAGTATCCATCATAAAACCTATTATTTAATTAATTAACAAAGTTGACATTTCAAGTGTCATCTGTCTTTTGCCATACTCAGATAGCAGACAGGCTTGGGCCGATTCTGGTTTACATCTGCGAGTACTGTTTGACTTACAGATATTAGGCATGTTGGCCAGAATTAGGCCAGATGCTGGACAGCTGTGTAAGGTTTTTGACTCATATTTATTTTAAGGGCCAATTCTGGCGTGAATGTTGTGGCTCAACATTGTGGATGAAGGAAAAGGACCACAGCACAATTAAGTTGTGGCAGATTTGTGCTTGGTTGATTTACACCTCAGTACTTTTGGCCGAAGTCTGGCATTGGGCATGTTAAAAAGTGTCCCAAACAGATAGCAGACAGTTCTGGGCCAATTCAGGCTCACATCTGCGAGTGTTGGTTGACTTCAGGATAGATTTTAGGCATGTGAGTCAGAATTGGGCCAGATGCTGGACAGCTGTGTAAGGTTTTGACTCATATTTACGTTTAAGGGCCAATTCTGGCGTGAATGTTGTGGCCTGACAGTGTAGATGAAGGGAGAGGGCTAATGCTGCGGCAGATCAATGCTTGGTTGATTTACACCTCAGTACTTTTGGCCCAAGTCTGGCCTGACATAAGTGAATTACTGAAGTTACGGAAAAGAGCCGACACTCGCTATTTAAGGGTTAAAACCCCTAATTTAACAAATTTTCCCACCCAAGGTCATCATTTTCAAATGGACAAGCCAACAGCCAGGACTGAAAAGATGACGAATGGAAGAGGGCATTTAGAAGGAAAGTAAAGTGCTTTAAAAAGCACACTTACATTAACATGATTTGTGATGTGTAAGTTTAGTGAGATTAACTATTTCAAATTATAAAGTTCCAGTATGGAAAATAAAGCGTTATAGCTATTATAGCATTGTGGCACTTGAAAAGCACAGGCTGGAAATCAGTTCACGGTTTAGTTTAGTTACCCTTCATGGCTGATTCATTGTGGTTAATGTTAACTTATTCCTTTTAAATATATAGAGTAGCTAGTTAGCTAACGTTAGCTTGTGGTTAGCGCGTTAGCTCGGAGCTAACGTTAACCTTGCCAACCTGAGCTAATGCGCTAAAAAGCTCCGAGCTAAAGCGCTAACCGCGAGCTAACGTTAGCTGACTACTCTGAGCATTTCAGTGGAATAGGCTATGCTTTTCAAGTGTTTAGCCATAATGGTACAGTTCGCGGTTAGCACGTTAGCTCGGAGCTAGCGTGTTAGCTCAGGCCTAGTTAGCTCGATGCTAGCGTGTTAGCTCGGGCCTAGTTAGCTCTATCCTAGCGTGTTAGCTCGGGCCTAGTTAGCTCTATCCTAGCGTGTTAGCTCGGGCCTAGTTAGCTCTATGCTAGCGCGTTGTCTTGTGACAGCAGTAGCATGTCTGTATTCACATCACTCTTCTGTGTAAGTCAGTGAACCTAGAAAACATGCACTCAATAATCCGATAACTGCAGAAAATCAGATTTTGTCAGTAATCCGATCAAAAAATTTACATGCAATTGAGTAATCAGATAATGGAAAAACTCTGGGTCTATATGAGTCAGGCAGTAATCAGATTTCTGCTTTGCAACCAGCCAATAGACTCACAGAAGAAGACGTGACGTAAACATAATATAAAACTCAAACTTTATGCTGTTTTTTTTTACATATATAAAATATAGAATATTTTATATATATATATATAATATATATATATATATATATATATATATATATATATATATATATATATATATATAATATAATATAGAATATTTAAATCCTTTATTTTGTGTTTGGTTTCAGCGCCGCTCCAATGGTGTTTTGCAACATCCACCGTCTGATCTCACCATGCGCAGACTGAAAAATCAGATAGAAATCAGAGTAAGAGTTTACATGCACTGAGAAATCTGATTACTGAGCTAAAATCCAGCCTCTTTATTGGAGTATGGTGTTTACATGACCATTTGAATAATCGGATAACTGCAGAAATCCGATTATGATCGGATTATTGAGTGCATGTATACACACCCAATATTTCCTGGTTCGTACGAGGGTTCATTGTCAGTGCTTAAGCTACATTAGTTTGACCTGTAAGCTTAATTCTGATTATGAGTTTCTTAATGTTTGTTAGAACAAAAACATTTTTGTTGTTCAGAGTTTGCAGTTGAGGAGTTCTGGCCTCATTATTCAGTTTCTGAAGTAAAACCCATCAGACCAGCTGTTATTGGAGTTCTGTGACTGTTTACAGAAGAACGACTTCCAAAGTGACCGAGTTGTGTTATTCCAGATTGTCAGGTAAAGCGGTTTGTTGAACAGTTTGACACAAAAACTGTTATCTGGAGATCAGTTAAAGAAGTAAATGACAGCTGAGAACTTTTCCTCTTTCCTCTGGCATCAGGAAGTGGACAGGTGGGTTTGATTGATGTAGAATTTTAGGAATGTTTATATGTGAGTCAGAACCGTAACTGTTTATCAGGTTAAATAGTGAATTGACACCTTTACTTCAGAAATGTGACACAACATTTTTGTCATTTGTGATTTAAAATGAAATCTTTTAAAAGTCATATTCTAAACGCCCTTGAGCAGTGCTTTAAGGGAGATGTCAGATTTAGCCTGCATTTCAGTGGCCCCTCCTCTTCATTCAAGAGTTTTTCATCTGCCATGGTTTAAAATTTGTGCAGAAATATTGTGAAAAAATATATTTATGAATGTGAAAAACACAGTACGGTTTGATTTGAGGTATACAGTCTGTGGAATGGCCGGCTGCGTATGTTCTTAAAGATAGGCACACAAATTACAGACAGTGACCTCTCACAGAGATGAAGCCTTTTTTTCTTCATTCATTTACTGTTTTTATTTATTCAACTAAAATCAACATGGAGTTTTCATTCTGAAATGGCTTTTCACACCTATTGATTATTAAGAAGAAATATAACAAATAATTTGTATGCTCTGCAGTAAATGAGTGGGCCAGGGACCAA